TATTTTGTTCTGTATTTTCCATCAATTACATGTGTCAGACCTTCACCTGTTCAGTACCACATTGAACTGAGACACTTTATCTTGAGGAAAACAACTGATCAATCGAATCTAGAAATCTGGGCCTAAAAACAGCCTAAAAGAGATGATTCTCCATCACTGCTAAGAAAATTTTAATAAACATTTATTGTCGTCTTTTAGTCATTGGTGTAAATCACTTATTGAAATCCATATTTAAGACTTTCCTTGTTAAACTAGATAATCCTCCACTAGCTGTTTTTTTTTTTTACAGAATTAAGCAGTGTCTGAATATTAGCTGTCAGATATAAGATTTAAAAAAGGCATGTGTTCTGTTCTACTTTTGCTGAAAAATAGAACATGCTAAAGCAAGCATGACAGTCTACATGCAGAAAAAAGATTTAAACCAAAAAGTTAAAACTATTTTCAGACTCATAGAAAATAAAAACCAGATTGATTCAAACCACTGAAAATTTCTCCACTTCCACATATTACAAATACCACCAGGCTCTGCCACTGCTCAACTGTCTATATAATTAGTTTTTATATAAATTGCAAATAGCAAAAATAATTAAAAATATCTCTCAAGAAAGTTTTAACAGTAGGTTTTCAAACATCCCAGAAAGCAAATGCATTTTGAAGAGCCCAGAAATCTAGTAAATAACTTTTAGAACAGAAACTGTTATCAGAAGATGAAGGAAATGACCTGGTCCTCCCGTATTGCCACATGGCACCTTAGTGTCCGATCAATCACAAGCAACAAGGGAAAGTAAATAGGGACAGAAAGATTAAAGGTTGCTTTGTGAACATGAAAACAAGTAGACTGTGCGCAGCATGACAGCTCAGAATGGTCCAAATAGGTATCTTTAACCACAGAAGCAAGAAAGATATCGTTGTAAGCACTTTCCTGCTCATGCTGATGTTTGGGTAGCTTCTGAAGCTAGCACAGATGCTGAGGCTGCCAAGTGAATCCTTATTGCTAAGTAAAATCAGGGTGCATTCTGTTGATTTATCTTTTTATAACAACTTTGTTCCACATAGCAAAACTTTCTATTCAAGTACCTACTGCTGCGATGAGCCTGACTATGCTATCTGGCAGCCGACAATGCATTCCACTTCCATCAGGCCATTCTAAAAATCAAGGTGCTTAAAATTGTCTTGCAGTGTCTGAGGCCATCCCCAAAGCAATATGCTGTTTCTCCATTTCATCCGTCTACAAAAATCATTTTAAGAGCTGGTATGCTGGAGTCCGTGTACCTTCCTATAGTTGGATTTAGCTGCACAGTGTTCCTAGCATACACCAGGCAAGTAGAAAGGGGGCTTAAAGCTTGAGGGTCTCCCAAGCAGTGCGTAACATCTAAGCAAAGTCTTCTGTCTTGTGTCTTCAGCGAGACTCAAGCATAGGTTTAAATGCTTGGACAAATAGAGCCCCAGCTATTGTTTGCATCCCAGAAGTGCATACGGCACACTGGCAGTTTCAATAAAGTCTGGAAGGATTCGAACCTTTAGGCTATCTCACTGTCATCACTTAGTGGGAACGAAGAGAATGCATGAATTGTTCTCGAGTAAGCAATTACAGTGCAACATCATATGTTAATCCATCTCCCTTCCCTCTTTTTTCCCCCCCAATTCTAAGTTTTCACTCACAAAAAGATGTTTTAGAAAGCAAAGTAGTGATAAGTCAAATTCAAATATATGTTAATTCTCCTAAACTTTGCGTTTTGCAGTCACCCGGAAAGCTAGCATTACACACATATGTGCTCATGCCAAAGGATTTAGCATCCCTTGCTGAGCCTGGGAATTACGGATTACCATTTGTCTGTGTCATTTTATGCTTGTCACAACCAAACTGATCACATGCGCTGTGCCTAGAAAGTATTACGAATACTACTAACCAAATGTGGGCAATCAAATGTTTCCATCAAAGGTACCAGACTTCACAAACCATGGAGGAAAAAAAAAAAGTTCCCAAACCTCAGTACTAGTCCAAGGAAAACTTCCTGGAAGCCTCTATACTTAATTATACCATAATAAATCTCAAAAAAAACCCCAATATTTGGCAGTAAAACCATAATAAATTTTTATGGATCAGCTATGTTTAACTTGTGACTACATTTAACTTTTCTATATATTGAAGTCAGTAGACCAGGACAAAATGAAAAGGAAGAAGTATATCCTTATGATTCAGAACAGGCTTCAAAATGCTGCCATTCCACTTTGGAAATTCTAAAAGAAAATGATCAGGTAGTCTCCAAGGACTGAAATAGATATGTATTGAGAATAAAATCTATTTGCACTCCATTACACGCAGAAAAAAGAAAAATAGAGGGCTTTTGTTTCCTCTAAAGTTCAAGCTTTCAGAATTTTTCCATGATGAGTTTGGACTTAACTATTTATAATAATAACTGCTTTTAGACTTTTGTTTTTATTATACCATTAAAGCTCTCACAAGTGACAGAATAATTTTGAAAATTGCATCCAACTTTTCTATGCTATTATATAGGAGCTGACCATAAAGGTTTATAAAGAATGCTGACTGTAAACTCTAATTCAGATGTGGTCAAAGCTTTACATACAAAAGAAAGAATGTAAATGTTGTTAATGCCAAAGCCACATCAGTGATTGCTATGTATGGTGCCATGGAGGACTGCAGCGCAAACAACTGTCACATTATGATGTTAATTTTTGGCATCGGCAACTGTAATAGTGTTGACTGTTTCATCCTTTCTTTGAAATGTCCTCAGGAACAGAGCAGTTAGTTACCCTCCGAGGTCAATAAAGCTACCGCTGGGAACAAGCTTGTATTTTTCACATAATTTTTACTGCAAAGTACCTAACAACTTCCTTTCACTTTCACCAGCACATACACACCTAAGATACCCACAAGCACTGTAAATAAGCAGTCATAACATCAAAATTTTTTCCTTTCCCCATGAATTTCCATTTCTAAGATGTTCTTGTAGCTTCCCAAACAGATTATGGGAACTGGTGCCAGTCAGCTAAGCTAACTCTATATTGGCACTTCATTATTTTGTTTTCACTACTGATGTCCATCCAGCAGTCTGAGAAGGTTGTATGCTGCTGATTTAATCTGTACATTCTTTAAAGCAGTGACAATGTCATACTTTTGCATGTATAACATAAGAACTGCAGTTCTGACCGTGTTACTTTTTGGAGCCTCTCAAGTTTTCTGCAATAAAGCGAGTACTTCACAGTGTGAAAACCAGAGTGTTGAACATCCAGCATGACTTGACTAGCAGAGGGGAGAGAGAAGAAACATTTCTCAAGGTTCTCGCAGTTGATGGTACTTAACTACAAGACCCAGGCAGGCCCTGAACCCACTTCATCCACAGATGTTTAAGTTTCAGTGAGAAAAGTACAGGTTTTGGTTCATTTTTTTGGCAATGGCAATTCTACTTCAGATAGTAATAAAAAAAAAAAAAATTCATCAACTTGTGTTGTTCTATATCATTACTGAATTAAAGTTTAAATCTTGCCTTTTTAAAAGTATGTATAAAACATCATCACCTTATTATTACACTACTGAAGTAGTAAGTGCCTCAAGCAATATTTTATTTACAACTAAGAGGGAGGCAGTCCTAAGGGGAAAAGCAAATAGCTTTACTGATAAACAGCTCAGCAACACTAAAAGAATCTTCTTGATTGCTTCTTGAAAAATTCCCTGTATAAACTTTAACACACAACCTGTTTGGCCACCCAGCAAGCAGCAGGCTTCACAGTTTTGTCCAATGTACACTTGTCTGTCCTGAGCTTAAGAAGAAACCATAAGTGTATTCTTGAACTGCTTCAGTACACATTAAAATGGATAATCTTGAACAAAATTATTTTACTGATATCAAGAGGCAGCAGGTAGAAATGCACTGCCAAAGATTTGGCACTGTTCCACAGCCGGTGTCAGGGTTGGGGCTAGACCACCCTCACAGATCTGGATGAGGAGGGTGTTTCTCTCTTGTGCCAAATCAGCAAAAGGAGAAGAAAGTGGAGTACAGGGTGAGAGGAGGGCAGCTGTGGACCAGTTTTGCTGGTAGCAATTTGGCAGCCTGTTTAGAAATCAGTTGCGCTTTTAACAACACACAACTCCCTTCAGGCCAATCTTTGTGCTAATACCTCCTTAAAAGCCTAGAGGGGTTTTGTGTCTCTAAAGGCATCCCCAGAACTGATAAGAGTCTTTGAAATTCTTTGGTCTACTTGCAGGGCACATTTTAGCAATTGCAAAGACTTATCCCAGATTCAAAGCAAGCAAAGAAATCCCAATTGTCCATGCATATTTGACCAATCTGCCCAATCTCCCCCATACCAAATATGACAAGCAAAATCTTAGGAGACAGGACAATGTTTCTCTGGCAGTTTTCTCTGATATTCTTCATAGTAAGAAGTGATTTAAAGTTTCTACAGACAAACAAGTCGCCCTAAAGCAAAGTGCACCTACATCATCTTACCTTCGTCTATTGCTGAAAAAGCATGAATACACATGCTATAGAAAAAGATTGTAGGAAAACATCAGTAAAAGATCATCAGCTCTAAAATGAAAGCATTCACCTCTAAACAAATAGAACTGGTTTTACCGATAAAGGACCATTTAGAAAATCCTGACTCTACAGAGTCCTATTATTCATCTCAACCAAGATCATGTTTTTTACCCAAATCTCAAACAGATAGATGGAATTTTGATCTTAAAGAATCAGAATGTTTAGATTTTTAAGTAAAATAAAAAGCTGAGAACCTACCAAGTTCAATTAGGTTTACCAATTCAATGATTACTGAAGGCTTGGAGGAACTTTTGAGCACTCAGGCTTTAAGTAACTAACATTTAACTGTGCAAGTAGAACTATCCTTGGTCAAGTGTGTCAAAGGAGAAAAAAAACACCTAAGAACTTCAGTAGTTCTTGACCTAATAAATATTAGATTTATTATTAACTGAATTTTACTTTAATGGTCAGTTTAATGCCCTTTAAAATACTTACTTCAGAATTACACAGCCTGTACCGGTAGGAGGAGCCGTCCAGAACACTTGAATGCGCGTCCTTCTTCGAGGTGTGCTCTCAGTAACAGCAACAGGACAATTACTCATGAACTGTGTCTCTTCTTCATCTATGATCTAAGGAAAAATAAAGAGAAGAATGTGAAAAGATAAGGACATACATAACCAATGTCCCTCAATTATGTTTTGCAAGTTCATGTTTTTCTTCAGCACTTTGGTAAATTTATTCATAACATGTGGATCACTCAATGAAATGAAAATAAAAAGCCCACAAAACAGAGTCAGAAGAACATTTCAGTTCTAGGTGAACAGAAGTTAGTCCTTTCTTGAGTGTGGCTGCAAATAACTGTTTTTGTAGATCCTGATTACTGGAGCTTCTTGTAAATGTTAATGAACTGAAAATAATAAAAGATGCATCATTCCAATTAATTTTTTTTTACATTATGGCAACTGGTTAGGGCAGATGGAATGTGCTAGAGAAGAAGGGGGTTTGGTGTGTTTATTTTTTGTTTGCTTTTTAAACTAGCCTTTGTTTAAGCAGTATTATTCTTCAGGCATCAAAAGAACCTTCAGGTCAAAAGAGACAATATATGAATCATAATCATCTATAATTCAGACACTATTATTTAGTCCAATCTGCTTTTTTGTTTGATTGATGTTTAACAGAAAGGTTTAAGTGGTATAAGTCAACACAAAACTAGAGAGGCTGATTTGGAACTGGTGCTGTTCTAAGGATTTTACTCAAAGGTGTCTGTGACAAAATAGCTTTCTCACTACATGTATACTTTCTGAATTGCATTTCAAGCCTTCTGTTCATCAGACCTCAAAGAAAACTCATCAAAAGCTGCCAAGTTTTATTTGGAAATAGGCAATGCTGTGATATTGCAAAATTTCTCTTCAAAATGCAGTGGTCCACTTTCATTTGATGTAGCCACAATTCACACTACATTGGGTCAAGATCCAGGCAATGAATTACCAACCTTACCATTTTGAGAAAGCAGTTATATTTATTGATTTATAACAAGACTTAACTCTGAGGGAGCTTCTTCAGAATTCTGCTTCTAATTACACACACACTTTTGCCAGATTACAATAATAATAATAACAACAACAATAATAACAACAACAATAATAACAATAATAATAATAATAATCATCTTCTGGCAGTATATATAACTTTAATTAAGTATTTTGACAAAAAATACTATCTTACATTCTGAAAAAGTGGCAATATCTGTAATTTGACCAGATCGGGTTTAGTAAGCAGGCATCCACGCTGCCTCACCCAAGGATACTGCCAGCATTCCCAAACATTTTTAGCTGAGCCAAAAAACATTTCTGGTTTTCCATAGCAGAATAAAGGGTCACTGGCCCACAGGAGTGCTGAGAAACTCACTCTAGCTGTCAATAGGGTAATGGTTAATGAGTTTTAAAACTCAAGCCATTAATATTCTTCAACCTTTTTAATACTTCATAGAATCTGTGTAACTAAACACGTGTACAGCTACTACTTTGCTAGATTTTGATTAACGTGAAGCATTGGGAAGCATGGGATTTAGTGTAGGCTTAAACTGGCACTGCACAGTTTCTACTTCCACTTGATACAATTTAATGCACTTGAACATCAATAAATCCCTAATCTACGATTCTGTCTTGGCCATCAACTGCATTTATTCTGTCTGCCATATTCCTGCAACAGTAAAATAAAGAAATAAAACTGTTTACTTATCTCTCAGAAAGGTTGTCTCATTTATTCAGGACCATATCAATTGACCTTTTATCCATATCTCACAGTAATTCATTGTCAATCAAAACCCAGTTTTGACGGAAGCTTTGAGTGAAGAATGGGTGATTTTGTACCATCTCATACAAAATAAAATACTATTGTACATTATGTAAAAGCAGGATAATTCCCATTGAAAGGGCTCTTAGGAGGTTATGTGAAAGCTCTTAAAAAGGACAGCTTTTCTAGAAAAACAGAAACATTGCAGATTACTGAACAAGTTACACTGGCTCCATATTCTTGTCGGATGCAAAGTGCTGCTGTAGTATCATAACTCACATCCATGGATAAAAGCTTTAAAAATATGTCCGATTCAGGTAGCTAAAGATTAAGTAATTACAGGTAAGTGTAAAGGCTTTACAATTAGCCAGATGAAAGATATTTGACAACAATCAATGAACCTTTCACATACGTTGATTTTTCCAAATCTAGTTTAACTTTTGTCTGATCAATACTTCATCAATGAATGTTTCTTGGGAAGCCCAACTCAAATGAACCCATGTTCTTGAAGTATAGAGTTGCTATTTTCAGCTAACAACAATTTAGCTGCTTTCATATCCCTAAATATCATTACTCCAGCAGTCATCATTGCAGACCCATCTGTGATGCATTTACATGTTAAGTAAATTCTTGTCTCCAGGTGAGTCCATGGAATCACAAGGAACACCAAAACCAAATCCAACAACTAACATCTAAGGAAGGAGCAGCTAATGAGTAGTGATTATTACAACTCAAATTTCTGGCCACTGCAAAGCCAGAACCTCATATATTTGAATTCTAGATAATCATTAGGTTGGAGCACATCCATGCCCTTTTCCAGTAGCAACAAATGAATACAGAAATGCAGAAATATTTTGTACTTCTATAGCCCACTAAATTCCTGTAATCTAGCAAGTTATGAATTTTCCCAAGGAATACAGATGACTGCAATGAAATAATTTTGAAGTTCTGATTGCATTTTAGAACATAGTCCTGGAAGAATAGGAAGTGGTTGAACCTCAAGGCTACTTCACGATTTCCTGCATCACTAACCATCAAAGCAAGAAGATTTATGCAACAAGCATCTACTGGGAAAATCTGACCATAAAAGAATAAGGTCTTCCAAAAAGAGTTCCTTTGAAGAAAAATTAGACAGAAGCTTTCTTAATAAAGACTCCTAATGCTGACATAATACAGTAAAGAACTCTTAAGTTGGAAAAACTCAAATGCCAGTTGATCTCAGGGGATTAAAAAAAAAAAAAAGTTATTGTAAGATATTTTATGAAACTCAGAAGTATTATCCAGATTCTAGGAGTTCAATCAATATAAACCCATCTCAAACTTATTAAAAAGGTGGGGTAATTTTGCCATATACATGGAGGTTTGATTCTTTGTAAAAATGTCTTGGGGCAATGAAGAAAGGGGTCACTATTTATACAACAAGATGCCAAACGACACAACATTTTAGAGTGGTGGGTGATATTATTGCACTCTCACATAACACAGGAGAAAGCAATAGCATCCTGGCCAACTTTTGGGAAAGAAAAAAAAAAGATATGTAATGTCTGAAAATAATACAATCCTGATTTTTCTTCTGGAATCAAGTCAAACCACATAAGCATGAAGGCAAGAATTGGCAGGAAAAAGGCATGTAGAATAAAATGGAGCAGTTGCAAAATTATAGCTTGCTAAACCCCAGGTTATCTGTAATGGGAAGCCTTACATATTCAGGAATGGGAAAGCAAATTAACTATGTGTTGGACAAAAATCCTAAAAACTAAAATAAACACTTGGCTGAAAAAGCTGAAGTCTCAGAGGAAGGATCTCTATGTGACTAATTCTTTCAAATCCACAAACACAATGACATTAAGTCTTAATGTTCTATTTAGGTTCTGGTGTGAGTCTTTTTTTATTATGATGATTGTAATATTGTTGGACCAATTTATTCCTTCAGGAAAACTAGTGTAAATCCTGAACAAGACTCTCTGAGTTAACCTGGATTTGAATGAGTGTCACAGAAAGTAGAATTTGGCTGAATTTAGGTAAATCTACAAACATGGAAGTAAGGATATTAAAAGGGAGAATTTACCAGCTCCAGGCTCAGTCCTGCATTCTTTGCATATTCCAAACACTGAAGAAGTTGAGGATGAGGTTTGGATGTTCCTGAAAAGCAGGACTGGGTAACTGCTTAGTTCAATGAGTGGTTTTCTTTTCTCAGAACTGGAACATTTCATGCTGAGTGATAGATCTTGCTATCTGTTTCTGATTTCTACAAACTCTTAGTCAAATAAATTAAACCAGGGAGTTATCCTCTCCATCATTAAATTTATATCAGTATTATTAAAAAAAAAAAAATGTTGAAATGCTATACAGCACAAAGAAAAGAATTAGTATCAAGTACAAAAGGAGATGAAGTTACATAAATCCTCTACTGGCTTGTGTCCACTTCCTTAGTTTAAACCACTGGCTAGGATCGTCAGCATCATTTCTTATTCTCTGGACACATGATCACTTTCCACCCACTGAAACAGCTACGTTCTACTGGAACAAGAAAGGTTTTTTGGTTTTGTTTGGTTTTTTGTTTAAAAAAAAAAAAAAAAAAGGACAAAGTTCACAAGAGAAGTGTTTTTGTGGGCAGTTTTCTTCTTTGGAAGAGCTAATATGGAGTCTGACTTCCACAATGTTGCAAAACTATCTTCTCCTCAAGGAAACTTCCTCATTATAAAAAGAACTTTGGGTCTACATAATGGTAACAATATTTGGGCTTTAGGGATTAACCTAGAACAGAACTCATTATATGGAAGGGAAAAATTAATGATGAATAAAGTCAGTTTAAAAAAATCTACCTCAAAGATATGCTTCACATAACCAGTTTCTTTGACTAAAGGACAGTATTTCCTTCAGAGTCTGTGCTTAGAATCAGAAGAATCAGAACTGGGACTTTTTTATGAAGCGTCAGCAGTCAGTCTTGATGTAGACTATGATACAAAGCTGTACAGCTGCACTGAGCACTGCTGGGCTCTCAGTAAGATTTGCCATCTGCAGCACTGCACCTGAAGACTGGAGTTGTCCGATAGCTAGGCATACCGTGGAGCACTGGAGAAAAGCGTGCAAATCTACTGAAGAAAGGCATTGCTAAAATACACTTGTAGATTATCACTAGTTTCTCGCACCTTCTAGCACAGACTATAGAGATATCCTACAACGTCGTAACTGGAAATCAAATTTAGTTCTGTAATCATTACCTGAGCACAAACTTTATCAAGTAAAGATGAAATGCACTAGATGACATGATGGTAAGTTCCGTGAAAGCGGTATCAGCACGTTATATGCCACAAGGTAGTTGGAATCATTG